CCACCAATTTGGTTGTCAACTTCAAGTTCACTCATTGGTGCTGTGGCGGTTTGTACTGAGATAAAGCCATAACCGATCCACTAAAATCGGAGTAAAACACAGCTTTGAAATACTTTTAATGTGTAAAGCACATTAAGCAGAGTATTGGAGAGTACTGACTTGATTTCATTCTATTTGTGGTTCTACTGATGACAAACGAAAGCTAAAATCTGAGGTGACGTTTCCCAGCTGCGACATTATTTTCGTGTTCCAAACCGCACACTAGCAGACTAAATAGTACACACAAATAGCGCATATACCATTAGAAGTGCACTCATTAGTGTAGTAGATGAAGTACAGAAATGTGTGGTTTGGGACGCGGCGTTAGATCAGCCCGTGAGACGCGATCAGCAGCTCCAACGGCTGATTATAGCGTCGCTGTGCTGCATATTAACTGCTCAGTAAACATCTCCGAGCAAAGGTCTGAGGTATTTTGTTGATCAAAGATTATTTACTGACGTAAACTGATGCATTTATTGAGTTAAATTAAGGCATTTATCGAGGTGAGCTCATACTGGCTTTGTATTCGCCAGCTTTCAAAATTCGTTCTACTTTTAAGGCACCTCAGTGTAACTGCAGCAACATTTAAGGTGGAACTGAAAATTCAAACGAGAAGCTGGCGGGTAAGAAGCTAACCTGAGCTTAAAATATATGAATGAGTTTATTATTTTGAGCTGTGGCAGCTTTGGTAGCCACTTTTATTATTTTTATAAAAATATAACACAATGAAATGTTCAGAACTGGAGAAATGCAGGTTATACGGATCCAGCCCACCAATCTAGCTAAACCTCACCAAACGCGTATTGAAGCCTTCCGAAGTTTCAGGCGCACTAGGACCGTCTCAATACAGGTGGACTCGGTGGCCTCAATACGGGTACTTATTGTCACTCAACATAGTTTTCATGCTGTTACAGTGGGCGGCAAGCCAAGTTTCCTGTTGTTGTTGTTTTCTATTTTTAACATATAAACTTAGATTTTTAAAGTGGTCGTATGATCAAAATATAAAAAGCTAATAAAATAATAATAAAAAAATGATCGGATTCATAAGGCAGAATGTTTAAGACATTATGTTGATTCAAAGTTAAAATTTCACTATAATTTATTAGTATTTTGTTAACAACCATTTAACAATAATAGTTTTTTTAACGTTTTTTTCAACTGACATTATTTCAACTACATTTCAACGTTGAAGGTCGGTCATGTGCCAGCTGGGATAGTTCTATACAGAACTTATGATTCTAAATAAAACCATTTCCTTTACTAAAGAACCCTTGAAGAACCATCTTGTTTAAGAGTGTATGAACATAAAGTAAAGCATGAGATACTGGAGTCATTGCTTAACAGTAGTAATTCACTTCATAATTCTCTCAGTTAAAGAGAATTTCCAATTATATGAACTAAAATAATAAATAAAAAGCAAAAGGCTGTATCAGTGTCTGAAACGTTCTTTACTAAAACCTTCACAGCACATATTTTTGTGCTAAAACAACGTGGCAATTTAGGGCTAAACAGAACGCATAATGACTTGCTGGTTCTGAGACCACTGACTGTGACTGGAGCACATCTCACATAGCAGAGCCGGTTTAAGGGGAGTCTGGCCACTTCAAGGCATGAGAAAGTGATAATTCTCCTCTCTAAAAATGCTCTGTGGAGAATGATCTTCAGCTGAGCTGAGACTCACACTGAGGCTGAATCCCAAACGTACTCCCTATGTACTGCACTGCTTAAGTCTTCTTATACTGACACTTGAGCCAAATCAGTACATATTAAGTCACGTGCATAATTTATTACTTGCTACAGAGTCAATTATTTTGGTGAAGAAGCTCCCCTAGTGCACTACATAGGGAGTAGGGAGCCATTTGAGACACAGCCTGAGGGAACTGTGCGCAGAGCCGGTTTATGAGGAGCCTGGCCACTTCATATTTCCCCAGTTTTATCAAAAACAGCACTTCTAAACAGCAGAGGGCGCCCGCGAGCGAGTCCTCAATGAATGGGAGTAAATGGAGCTCACCAGCTAAAACAGTTTCTACTCTTTAATATAGAGCTTTCCTTTAATTTTAGAAAGTGAAGGATGAAAAAAAAAACACATTTTTCTTTTTTTCAACAGCAAACGGGTTTTGGGCAGCAGAACGCTGGCATTACTACTACTGACTGCTGATTGGTTAGCATTACTGCCACTGAGTGCTGATTGGTTGGCGAGCGGAGCAGCTCATTGGTTGTTCGTTCTGACTGACGTCATTAATGCACACGAGGCGCGGTTTTGAAGTTCTATAACTCGACTTTAAAAGCTCTTAAGAAATATAACATCGGTTTTTAAAATGTTTTATGCTATTCAGTGTTCAGGAAATTACTGCATTCTTTTACATTAAAATGTTTAAGCATTTATACACTATGATTTTGCTCAAATGCTCCATATTAACCCATTCATTTTGGACTCGCTCGGGTGCGCCCTCTAGCGTTTGATAAACCCGGAAGATATTACATAGTCGTAGTTCTCTGCTGTGAGTTCTTACCGTTGCGGTCTGGTCAGATGCTGTACATTCACATCCATTTTTTCCACAATCAAGAAAAACCTTAAGGAGAGAGTTTTAAGCGCCCAGGCGAACCAACGATTTTTTGGAGGATGCTTGAAGACCATGAGCCTTTGCGTGAATTGTACATGAACTTTGTTCTCAGTATGAAGTGAACTATGAAGTGCAGTTTTATCTTGGCTTTTGTGTACATCAAACAGGCCTCTCAGTGGATGTTTCTAAATGACGTGACGTGGCATTAAAATGAAGCTCTAAGAAATGCAGCTTATTATTATTACGTGAATTAAAGTCCATATTGATTCATTTTCACATTCATACTGATTGGGTTGGCGAACCCAACCCAATAAGCCGTAAGGTTTATTAAAACAAACAGGGTTTACACCAGACCAGGTCAAAAACCAGAGCAGCAAAACAGGATACATGGGAGAAGGTAATAACCAAGGTAGATAAATATGCAAGGGTCGATACCAAAGAGCCAATACAAAGTTAATACAAAGTCTTAACCAAAGGCGAGAATCCGAGAGCCGACCATGAGAAACAAGGTCACAAAAAGGTTATCTACCAAAACAACAGAACAGCAGGCAATACTTCGGTAAGCACCAGACAGACAGACGTTTATAGACAGGCTAACAGGTGCTAAATCAGTACTCAGGTGACGGGGATCCCCTGATTAAAGGATGATTGGTTGGCGGAGTCACACGACAAACTGAGGGATCTTGGGAATTGGAGTCCGTAAGGCTGTGTGAGTCCGACTGAGACCCGAAGCGTGACATTGACAGTGTTTCCCTAGAATATCCTGCCTTTTCTTTGTGTCGGAGTTCACTGATGTGAAATGTTCAGTTTTAAACTTTATGAGTCAGAATTGTTCACAGTGGTGATGATGAGAACCAGACATGAAAAGAGTTCAATGCCTCTAAAAGTTCCTTCACAGTACAACTGTTACACAAAATGGTTATGAATACACTGCCTGACACCTGAAATATTGTTTCACAATAATTTTGTCAGAAGATATTGGCTTAAAACACAAAAAACAAATCTGTTAATGGCACAGAGATACAAGCAGGGTGTCCTAAGGCAAGATAGTCTCCAAACAATTTTTTTTTTTTAGATGCACCGCTGTTTTACAATGATCAACATTGTAAACCATGTAAAAATGTATAACGTGTTCATTTGCTGGTAGTTTTGCATAAAAAATAAATTGTCTATATTTGTGTTGCAGACATGGCAACCCCTGGTTTCCATCAGCACCACTATACAAGAAATGTAATGTATCAAACCACTCTGAATGACTTTGTTTACATCTCAGCTATTGAATTATGCAGATATTTTGAAATTTTGGTGGAATTTTAATAGCTTGTTCATGATTCCCCTTATTGTATCTATCCATCGTTTCCATTAAATTGGTTCTGCTCATAATATGTCCAATATAAGAGTTATAGGATGGTTATTTGGGCTTCAAGTGAGAGGTGAGGCTTGATTTGGTTTCCATTTGTTTGCTTTCTTTATTGTCAAAAGAACCCTCAAAAGTATTTGTCAACACCAAAGCTCAAAGACATCAATATTTTTCCTGTCCCGCTTTTTTATTGTCCATTGTCCAGGGATGACCGGTAGCCTAGTGGTATAGGAGAGTTAAGACTGGATTAGTTAGGCGGCAAAATGACAAGTTTCCCTGGTAGGATCAATTAAGTATAACTTAATCTTTCACAATCATAAAAAAACAGAGAAGACCATAACCTGGACAATTCTAAACTTTCTTTGTAGAGACAAATCATTACATTTATAGCTCCTTCATCCTTGACCTGCTGAGCACATCTTTATCATATTTCCTGACTGCTATATCCTTTGTTGTTAATAATTGATCTGTGTAGACAAAAGCTATTTACCACTTCATCACCATCAGTGGTAAGGTTAACAGATCTTTCCCATTTTTTCATATATGTTGTTAATGTAACTTAGAAAGGCTTTCAGTTCCTATAAATTTTCTGCAATGAGGATCAGGTAAGAATGAAGAGTAGGCACACATTCATCAGACACTATGTGATATAGAGAGGTCCTATAAGATCATTTGGAACCATAAAAACTAGTAGCAGAATTTTAAAATCTATCCTGAATGATACAGATAGCCAGTGCAGTTCTTTTAACTGATATGATTTAACTGCGATCATCTCTCTATGATATGATCTCTCTTGTTTGTTTGAGTTAGGATGCATGCAGATGCATATATGACTTTGATATACACTAGCAGAAAAGCTGGGGTTAATTAGTCGGTTCATGGTGGAAAAAGGGATTTTGGTGATATCTTTGTAAATATTGAAAGACAGGCAGTAGCAGCAGGCCACAGTGAAATGTTTAAAACTGTTTTTTTAAAGCTAGCACATTATTGTGGAAATAGTAGCCACTGTACTTCATAACCATTTCCTGAGTTTTTTCTTTCCTTAAATAGAAAAAAGGAAAAAAAAACCCAAACAAATAAACAAATGAGCCCAAGGCTTACTGTCATATTTTTCTTATGTGTGTGCCATTTTAAGAAGCCGCTCAGCAAATGCTTGTTCTTCATCATACTACACTCCTGCCACCCTAACTATAGGTACTGTCAACTAGTAATCATGTTTTTTGTGTTTCTTTTGGTGAAAGACCATAACATATAACATTTTTCAGCCCTGGGCTCCCATAACATACACAGTACAATGATGATGTCCACCTTCCTCTTCATGTCTATACAATTTCACTCTCGAAGGAGACGCTTGGCTCACATGGCTGAGTATCATTTTGTTGAGATCCTGGCGAATATTTTATTCCATTATATCTTTCAGGTGCAGATGAGCCTGAAAAGATAAGCAGGGGAACGTTAGTAGGATCCTGATATTTATCAGTCGGAGAGAACAACAGAACAAATATACAATATTTACATTACTGAGATTGTGAACCTTCTGTGCTTGCCTGCTGCTGCTGTTTATGAGTTCATGCATTACATTGCATGATGTAATTAACCGAGTACAACAGGATTAAGCCATAATAAAGTTAAATAATAGAGGAGTTTAGTGGATATAAACAAAATGGATTATGTTTACAGTCCCATTTACTATTGAGGCATCATGAAATGAGCAAACCTTTATCTATGAGTGAATGTAGATGAGAGCAGCTCAGTGGGCTGCCACACTCACCATTTCTCATGACAAGCGAGTTAAAATGGATACTGTATGATTTGGGTATTTTAATGTATTAACATGTCATGTTTACGTTTATGCCAAATGGAGACATTTCACATTATTAGTAAAGTTAACAAGCACAAGGTGACAACTCAATTAAACAGACTGGCAATCCAGAGAATTTAGAGGCAACTAGAGGACTGGCTGTCATAGAGTTACAGGTGAGTCAGATTGTGCAGTGTTTCTTTTTCAATAAGTGTTAATTATAACAGCTCACAAGCTTATTATGTCTGACAGTAGGAGATCATGTATGATAGTTACATGCTATCATGGCCTGTTTATTTAGGCTGTTTATTTTCTGTATTCTGTATTATTTAGAGTTTCTGTAGCAGATTGTAATGGATCACCGGCCATCACAGATCTTCTCTTTCGATATCTTCTGTAATTACACTGTATTTTTTTATTGTTAATATTTTATTAAAAATAGATTAAAAATGTAGGTGATGAAGAAAATGAATGAGCATTGATAACCATGCAAACACTACATATACCATCAAATAATAACATTTATTTGCATAAGCTAATGCTCTGAGGGCCAATTAAAGAAGAACAGGATGAGGATTAAGTATTAAATTTATATACATAGAAAAATCCCTCCTGAACTCCCTTTGAATTCTGTTTTCATTGTACAATAATTCAGCTCAGCATTTTTAGCAATTAGACATGTACAAAAAATTGCTATTGTAGCAGATGTTAAAACTGCATCACTAAAATACAGAAACTAAAATAAGGAAAGATTTTCATTGCCTCTTCTTGTCTTCTTTTTCCAGTAACATGCCCCAGCAACAGCAAATACAGCAACAGCAATCAGTCCAACAGGTGTTAGGACAGCAATCAGCACCATAGATTTTGAATCTGTAAAAAAAAATAAATAAAACGTATTTAAACTCATGTTATTAGCAGGTTTACCTACTTCAGTAGAACATCAGAGGAACTAGAATCCTCTGATATGTAGTTTTTATGTGACCAAATGTGTTCAGGATATTGACCATTCAATTAGAAATAAACAATGAACAGTCATAATGATTTTAACCTACCTGTGTTAGTATAACAGAGTTCTGTAATGTTGAGCGGGGTTGTCTGATTGTTAACTGGATTAGCAGCTACACAGGTGTAAGTAGAGTTGTTTGGGTTGGTTATATTCAGAGGAAGAGAGATATTGCCACTGAAGTCTGTGCTATTGGTGGTGGAGATTCTCTCTTTCTCTTCATACCAGGACAAATTCACATCCTTCCCATTCTCCACAGAACACACAAGGACACAGATCTCTCTTGGAAACGTGTGTTTTTTTTTCAGACTTATGGTTGGTGTTGGAGCTGGAGCTGTAAAATACCAAAGGACATAAGAAATTACCACAGCAGAGCGTTACAACCATTAACCATGCCAATATGTCAAAACACTGTTAACCACTAACATTTCCACTGATCTAAAGTCAGTAACTACAACCACTAACAGCACTGATATCAAAGTACAATTAAAACAAGCTTTTTGTTAATACTCACTAACAGTACCAATATGTAAAAATATAATATAACGGAACAGACATCTAGCAGTGTAAAGTGAAATTTGCCTCTGTTTAATCACGCTGCAGCTGCTGTTCATTAAACTTTAGTTTGGGCCTTCCTGGTATTCCTTCCTATGGCTAAAACAGCATGTTTGATCTGTATCTGACTTGTCTATGTCTATGAGCTCATGTTGATATTGTTGGTGCATAATGTGTTCTGCATTAGTATTGGTTCTGGTAAGGTAATGTACAGAGTAGAGATGAAACGGTTACCGGTTTCACGGTAAACCGCGGTAAAATTAATGACGGTTAGTAGTACCGTTTGAACTTTAAAGTATCGTTAAAACCGCGGTCGATTACCGCGGTGTGAAAACTCGGAGATTCGGGCATATTTCAGCCTTTTAAGAAGACCAAGTCTGACGTTTGGTCATATTTTGGGTTTTATAAGAATGCAGAAGGAAAGTTAATTGAAGATGACCACCCTGTCTGCAGAACATGCCGAAAGAAAATAGCGGCGAAAGGGGGCAACACATCAAACTTTACGAGTCATTTCGCCACCACCACCCGCTACTTTTTAGAGAATGCAAGGTTAACTTTAACGCAGAAGTCTGTGGGGACTTCGAAATAGAAGAAATGTCACGGTTTGTGTGGTTTAACCTATGCTTATGGTTCGGTAATATAAATATATAATATATAATATATAATATAAAATGAAGCTTTTAGCCTTAAAAAAAAAGAAAAAAAGAAAAACAATCGGTGAATCAACTGTGAATCGAAACTAAAGCTTTTAACACATTTCTGTGGAGCAGTGTCTCCAAAATGAGCTCTGAGTTAACAGTCACACGAGCTCTGGAACGAGACGCTGCAGAGGTTCAATCTGCACAGCTCCCCTTTCTCGTCTCGCTTTCAGTGTTTACTTTCTGAGAAGAGAATACCTGTCTCAAATCACTCAATGTCCTCTACATAGTGCGCTACTGTTCAAACAAACACGATAATCATTAACAAGCAGTTGAGTTTTAAATAGGGGATTTGTAACCTATTGTTAATGTTGATTATAGATGACTTAGTCGAACGTTTCCTGCACTCTTTGGGTGAAGGATTTGCTATTTCATGATCCACGGAGTGCACTACATAGGGAAGATAGTGTGCTTTGAGACGGGATCTCGCGCGAGTAAATGCTGTGTGCTGCTTTTGGGAAAAGCAGAGTTTCAGAAATTAAACTTTAGGAGTGTTTCTGCCGCAGCTCAGATGCGCGTTAATTTTAAATTATGTTTTAGTTTTAAAATGCTTTTAGAGAAGCAGCTCCACAGGTGAAGACACACTGTGTGAGTTCTACACTGTCTGCAGCTCACAGCGCGGTCACGCAATTCCTCTGTGATTTTGGCTGTTTTTCCTGGTGCACTGTGTTGATTAGGGGTACAGCGCCACAACGGCACAATAAAGCTGCAGTTGCAGTTAGGGACAGAAATCCCCCGAGTGCAGCACTTCTTAGAAGTAGTAATTTTCCATTAAGACCCACCTCAGAGTTGGTCGAGATTTAATTCTCTATGCAGGGAAATCCATAGTTATTGTAATTAATAATAATAATAATAATAATAATAATAAGAAGAAGAAGAAGAAGAAGAAAAAGAATAATAACAGTAATAATAATAATAATAATAATAATAATAATAATATACATTTGCTATTCTTTCGTTTACAGAGTATCACAAGTATTGTAAGTAATACAAAAGTAATACTAAAAATGTATTGACCTTATTTTTTAATGTTTATGCAAATAAAAAGTGCATATTGCTGCCAATTCTATTTGTGTTAATATAAAAGTTGGTGAAACGAGTTTCAGTTTGTGTATCAGTATTTATTTTTTTTATTTATTTTACTTTTCAAAACATTTGAGCAATATCGCGATAATACCGATAATCGTGATAATTTTGGTCATGATAATCGTGATATAAAATTTTAATATCGTTTCATCTCTAGTACAGAGCATGGGTAGGCCTTCCGAATGTGTCAAAATAAACTAACTGTAAATAAAAATGAATAATAATCTTATATTTGCTCACCATACACTTCAATCCTGTAAATCCAGTTAGAACGATTTTCAGTGATTATCTGTAATTTATAAACTCCAGAATCTTCTCTGCTGATGTTTGTGATGGTTAAAGATCCACTGTTTCTGTTCAGCTGCAGTCTGTCTCTGAATCTCTCACTGTCATAGAACGGTTTAGTCTCCCCTTTAATCACCAGACTGTTCACTATCTTTTTATTCTCAGGTCCATAAAACCACAGTATCTGAGCATCACTCTGAACTCCAGTTAATCCAGTATGGATGGTTACAGTGTTTCCCTCCAGCTCCTGCAGTCTGACAGCCTCTCCTCCAGCTGAGCACAGCAGAGCTGAAACAGTATAAACAGAAAATGTGTTTGTACTAATGTATAAACAATATTTCACATAAATTCAACTTTGAAGCCACTCTCCCAGATGGCTGAAAAAAAAACAAAAAAACAAATATAAAATAAGTAGATTTTCATTATTTTTTTTTATTTATATAAGTACAACCAGTTTGTGTACACTCTCAGAAATAAAGGTAGTAAACTGTCTCTGGGGCAGCACCCCTCTTGTCACATAGGTGGTACCCTCAAGGGTACATCTCAGTACCTTTGGTCAGGGAACATAACTGTACCATAATACTTTTAAATTATATTTTCTAAGTTGTACTGACTCCACACACCCCGTCTCGTCTCCAGGCTTTTATTTCATTGTTCTGTTTTAAAACATTAGGTTATGAAAAGGTACAAACGTACTTTTCAAAACTTATTTAAGGTACACAATTGGACCCTAAAACCACCGCTGTACCTTTGAGGTACATTTACAGTGTTTGTACTTCGATGAACGAAAAATGTACCTGCACAGCACCTTTATTTCTAACGCTGTGTTTGTATTATCTCATCTCTTAATTCTTTGACCAACACACTTAATAATAAACCCGCTTCTGAAAATGACCTAAATGTTATTTCCATAATGTTACACTGGCTGGAACTATACTGTTAAGTTTGTAAACTGCTAAGCTTATGATCAATAAAAAACAGTAAATCAGTCACATTTGACCAGAAAACAAGCAACGAGTTAAAAGACTCATGAAACGTCCGTATCATGCGTATATAAAGTAACATAAGCTCACTGTACACATAATAAAATATTACTTTTATTTAATATAAATTACTTAAGGAGGAAAATAGCAGATTTTATTCTAATCTGTAAGATTTGAACTGGAGAACTTTAACCAGGTGATGAGAGATCGTATCTTTTATATCTCTCCTCTTCCAGAATTTCACTCTACACTATTTAATTATATTATTAACTTATTATTAACTACAGATTCAGTCAAACTAAAACACACCGCACATTATCGACTCGAGAAATCAGACTTACAGCAGGACAGACAGAGAGCGCGAAGAATCCAGTGGTCAGTAATCTTCACCATCTTTATACACTTTGAAGGCTTTACTCGGCGGTAAACCAGCTGTATAACCAGCTTTAAAGATTCGCGCCACTGACTGAAAACCGACCAATCAGAACACGGATGGGGGTTAGGTGTTAGCCGCCAAATTCAAGTCAAAGTCATCTGAACGAGATTGCGGTTCTCCAACTCATGTGCAAAAATATCAATATAAAATAAAAGGCAACTGCATACTAGACAGCATAGATTTAAACACAGATTTAATGCTCAAGACTGGAGCAACAACATACTTGCTATAAAAACGTTTCACCTCATATTAAACAATTATACGATTTAGGACCATAATAAACAATTTGCGATTTAGAATCAAATCTAGACTGCTTACTGAACAAGGTTATAAACACGCGTACACTGTGCTGCATACACAGAAGTTGGATATTAAAAATGACAGTAATTTTTAAGATTAATTTTAGCTGAAATGTCAGCAGATTTTACACAGTCAGGGCAGCATTTAAAACCCTCAAAATTACACTCACATTATCTCTGATCTGATTCAGATCAAACTTATTCTGGTGACTTATCTTGTATACATATAGTTATCTAATATAAAGCATGTCTCTATGTTCAAGAGGAGGATATATATATATATTGTTCAGGTAAATAATCAGGACAAATTTCATCAAGTCTTATTAAATCATATTTATGATCAAGAAAAACAGTAAATGGGTCAAATAAGATAAGAAAACAACCAGAGTTAAAATGACTAATGAAACATCCATAGTATCACTCTCACTGTACACATACTAAAATATAAGAGGTTTTAAGGAGGAAAACAGTAGATTGTATTGTAACCTGTAAGACCCGAACAGCAGGACTTTAACCATTTTTACATCTCTCCTGTTTATTTACATACATTTACTAAAACACACCGCACAATATTGATTCAGGAAATCAGACTTACAGCAGGACAGACAAAGAGCCTGAACAACCCAGCAGTCGGTACGAATCTTCACCATCCTTATATACGCGTCTGGCTTTACTGAACGGCGGCTGTATATCTCGCTCGTCAGACGCCGAATGTAACTGTGCCACAGATTCGCGCCGCTGATTCTGCCCAGCTACTTCCGCTGAAGAGCGACCGCCCACTTTAACTTTAATGCGCCGAGTTTCCCAAAAGTGTCAACAAATCCATTCCTCGATGGAGGAGCGAGCCTCACACAGAACACTCTCTCTACCATTTTAGGTGATTTGAACACTACGATAAAGGAAACTGAGCTCTACTTTACTCACCACCTGAAATAAAAACCCCGTCATAAAGAATCTTTCAAGGAAAAGGCCAAAAAGGAGACTTTGGTGCTACAATTATTAATGTGTCTCATTATTTTTAAGAGAAGGGGGCATTTATTTTTGAGAATATCCGTTTTCTGTGCTGAGACTCTGTGTTTGGAATTCGCTGTATATCAGAAGATGGAGGACAGTGAGAGTTTTCTCGTGATTTCTGTTAATCAATTATTTTTTTATTTTCATAAAAAGCAGAAAATGCAAACAACGTCTTAGATTCAACTTTTGGAGGTGAAAAATATTCCTGCAGGTTTCACTGAAAACTGAAAGAAAGTCTTCTGAAAAGAGTGGAAGCTTAATGAAGGCAAAATGTAATATTATATTTAGTTGTTCGGGATTCTGTGTAATTTTCTGTCAAATATGTTTTCTGATGCTGAAAAAACATTATCTTGTACTTAACAGCCACTTTGTTTGGAAATTAAATAAATGAAGGGTGGTCTCTGACTTTTGCTCAGTACCGTATATTGATCATGGCAAAACCTACCAGTCCTTTATGCCTTTTGACAAGAATAATTTTTGCCTCTGGTTATAGTTTAAACATCAAATAAATCATGCTTATTGAGTATGCGCTGTACTCTCAGGTAAAACTACTGTTATGTACCTAAAGGAAGTGTAAAACGTACTGGCTAAAAGCTGCAACATTAAAGGATGATGTTTTACAAGCAGTATTAATGGGGAGCCTGTTTTTGGCCATGAACACCAAAAGTGGGAAAATGTCTCAAACACAGTCGGAGGATTAATATTTTCATAACAAGGGTGGGCTTCTTCTATGACTATGCTCTTACGCCTTTCATTCCGTCCTGTACTTTTTTCGACTCTCTCCGTTGAATCAGGACTTTAAGCAACATTGTTTCACACGATAATTAATAAAAAGCTTGACATTACATGTGCACTACTGAGGAGTGAATCTCTCAAAGCAGTTCAGTAACAATAAGATTAATAACGGACTCATCACAGTGATTTATCAGTTTAATCAGGCTTTAGCAAGAACTGCATGTCTTTTACACATTATATATATTTATCTGACCGAGAGTGTTCAAAGCTTTTCATACCGTCAATAAAAGAGAGAGAGAGAGAGAGTTGAGATGAACACGAAATAAAGCATGATCAACTCCAGTTATTACTATACTGGAAACATGACTCAGTGTTTTATCTTAAAACGTTAATAACCTGGTTGCCTTAAAACCATATAAAATAACTTTAGAAACGATAAGAAATAATAATTATCAGAGTGTAAAACAAATTACTGTTATGCTAACTTACTATTAGAAGTACCATTTTACAGTGTTTGCTGCTGTAATTCTTTTATAAAGAGAATTTCCAATGTGCTAAAATGCGGAGTCAAAACAACAGACTTTCTACATTGTGAAGTACATTTCTATATAGAATTATGAATTATGAATTATGAATAGGTTGAAGTAAATTGGGCCACTTTTTTCACAAATCCCTCTTAAACTCGACTAAAATAACAGCACATACTGCATGACTTTCAGACGCGTGTTTAATCACTGAGACAGCTCTCCTCTTTCATTCTATGTTGAAAATATATTAACTTTTACATTAAATATATTAGCCAGTTAAGTGTCACACATTCGCCTCCAACGCCAATGTAATCAGGTTAAATGGGCCAGCAAAAAAAAAATCGTTTTCAACAGTCAGTTCATAAGGTGGCCATTTTAGCAGAAATGAGCTCATTTTATCCACCATGTTGAACAGAAATTGACCCCCAACTTTGTCGTAAAAAGTGCAGTCATTTCTCAAAGCTCTGAAATGAATAAAACGCGCTGATCAATTAACTGCAGAATTTGTCAAACGAATATGTTTATGAGAGCAGACTTACAGCAAAGCACGCAAATGAGAGCTTGAAGAATCCTGAAAAAGTTCTCCGACATCTTTCTGGAGCGCGGCTGGAGAGTGAAGGTGTTTTTTTATCGGATATTTCGCGTTTTCTCTCTTTAATTTCCCCTTGAAAGCAGAACAGCTCAAAACCTGGGAGAAACGGACTGCTCTGAAAAGCACAGCGCGTGTCGGCGGCCTGATAGCAAGGAAAGGCACAGGCTGGATGGACTGGGCGGAGACGAGCTGCAGGCAACGCGCTAAAGGGCGCCGCCCCCACCTCCTATTAACCATTTAGTAAACATCGTCGAAACTTGTCAGGAAAATGCAGTAGGACCGGCTTGCGTGTAGCCTTGACCAGATCACACAAAGTTCATAATCGAAGGAAATGAAATTTTCTCTGGTGTTTTGGCCACAGGAGCAGAACAGCATAACTGTAATGTGGGGAATTCCGGTATTCGTGTTGTGGTGACTGTACCTCATTCCCACATTCATCTTCAACACGTTGCAGTAACGTTGCTGATGCAGGACTCCACAATCTCATAACGTCTGATAGCAGAGTGATGAAATTTAATGTCTTAGGAGGGAAAGGCCTCACAGTTTTAGTTAAACTGGAATTTTGATTGGTCGACGTCCAAAATGGAATTTCGAACATGAAATATACAGAGTACATTTTCATTTCTTTGTCCGTTTATGATTTAAAGTATGTTAATGCCGATACTAATAAAAGCCCTGCACAGCTGTTTTTCATCTGTGAAA